GCTGAGCCCTTATAATTATTTTTTATTAAATCATAACCTTTGTACATTGATGCATTTATGAGGTTCAGGGTACTGCTTTGATATACAGTGTGAAATATTTACATTGAACCACGTAAATCACAATTAAAAACCTAACTATAGTCCATAAAGTAGAAGGGAAGAGGAGAGAGAGGGGTGGGGAGAGGGGATACAGGAGAAGGGAGGTTATTCGGGGTGACCTCACCTAATGTGCATGATGCAATGATACATATCATGAACTTTTTTATGTGACTATACAAAAAGTTATTGGTATGGAATGTAAATAAATTTAATAAACACTTAGTCTATGAATTAAACCTTTAAAGTAATTAATTTTTCAGCAAATAGTTTAGAAATGAATTCTTGTTGAAAAAAAATTCTTTTTAAAAGATGGGTTCTTGCCCTGTTGCCCAGGCTGGAATGCAGTGGTGCAATCATAGCTCACTATGAACCTCAACTCCTGGACTCGTGATCATCCTGCCATAGCTCCAGGGTAGTAGAATTACAGGTTAGTGCCACCACATCCGACTGTATAAAATTCCATATACTGCTTTATGTGTCTAAAAGTTTACTTGTATATACTTGATAAAAATTATTCTAATTTCTAGAGCTACCCAGTACAATTAGCTCCTAATTTCTGGAGCTATCCAAAATCTGTCTAGTAAGATTTAAAAATCTCATTCAAATATTACTTACAAATTAAATTTAAAAATACTGACTTAAAAGATATGTGAATAGAAGTGAAAGATCAGTAAAAGTATAAGACAGAGTTAATTTTATAATTGCTTAAAAGTAATAGATATCATTCCAATATAGATTTCACCAAAATGGTGAAATATGCTGATTCAGTTACATTTATCATCTTGTTTTTCTCACATTTATTGAAAATAATAAAGACAAGTGAGGAAATCTTACCTTCTTGGTAGGCTCCATCTGCCATGACTAAATGAAGAATCTTGGCATAAAGATGCTGATGTTCACTTCCCAAAATATTTTGAGCTATTTTTGAACAAATTTCAATATTTTCATCTTCATCTTCATGAATAGCCTATACCAAATCCCCAAATATAAATTAATTTTTGAGCAACTTTCTCTAATTGGAGACTTTGCTTTTTATTTATAAGAAATCTAATCACCAATAAAGACCAACATTTTTCTAGTATTCAAACAGAGCATTTTCTTTTTCTTCTTTTCTTTTTTGGAGACAAAGTCTCTGTCTCTTTGGCTAGAGTGCTGTTGCATCATCATAGCTCAAAGCAACCTCAAACTCCCAAGCTCAAGTGATCCTCCGGCTCAGCCTCTCGAGTAGCTGAGACTACAGGTGCCCACCACAGCGCCCTTTTCTCTTTTCAGTAGAGACAGGGTCTCCCTCTTGCTCAGACTAATCTCCAACTCCTGAGTTCAGGCGATCCACCTGGCTTGGCCTCCAGAGTGCTGGGATGACAGGTGTGAGTCAGAGCCTATTTTATAAGCAAATGTTTTGACTGACATTCACTTACTTTTATTTTCTCATACACCTCAAAGAACTTGTCAAAGCCCATCTCTTGCTCCAGGTGGAGTCTCAGTTCCTCTAAGTGGTTGAAGACACTGTCACATTCACATTCACTGACAGCTTCACCATCACTGTTATCTAAAAACATGCAATAAAAATAAGGTATTTTAGGATTAAAAAGACTGAATAAATTCTTACTGTGATAGAGTAAGATTCTATGACAAGTGAATGATGCCACTGAAGTAGATTACTTCCACTTCTAATATGAGTACTTTTGTCACCATAAGACAGGCTGGCCATAAAGTTTATGCAACTTAAAAAAAAAACAAACTATCTTCAAACAATAAAATAGTTACTATTTTAAACTGCATGCGAACTTTATGGCCACCCTGTATTTATCATTTATGTGTAAGAAAATACATATAAATCTATCTTAACAAGAATGTTACTTTGGGAATCTTTTATTTTATAGACATAAACAGTCAATCAGGTTAGAATAAAAATGTTCTTAGTCAGACGTTGTGGTGGGCTCCTGTAGTCCCAGCTACTTGAGAGGCTGTGGCAAGAGAATCACTTGAGCCCAAGAGTTTGAGGTTGATGTGAGCTGTGACACTATAGCACTCAACCAGCTGTGACACATAGCGAGACTCTGTCTCAAAATAAATAAATAAATAAATAAGAGAATAAAAATGTTCTGGCTGGGGGCAAGGGCTCACAGTGTGGCTTAATCCTAGCATTCTGGGAGGCTGAGTGGAGAGGACTGCCTGAGGCTAGGAGTTTGAGACCAGCTGGACCATCATAGCAAGACTCTGCCTCTACAAAAATATAAAAATTAGCCAGGCATGGTGGTGTGTATCTGTGATTCTAGCATCTGTGGAGATTGAGGTGGGAGGATCTCTTAAGCCGGGACCTGGAGGCTTCAGTGAACTATAATTGTGCCATTATTCTCCAGATTGGGTGACAGAGCAAAACCCCATCTCAAAAAACAAATTTTAGGAAAATACCTAGAAAGTATTATAAATGTTCAAGATATTTGTCATGTACATGCTCCAGATACTTAAAAAAAATTATTATAGAATCTTTTCACAATTAGCTTTTATTCCCAAATATTTATTATATAGTTCTTGAAATATACAAATGTTCTATGCATCTTGGGATAATGCTATCAACAAAAGTTTCCAAATCAGGCTCAGCACCTGTATCTCAGCAGCTAGGGAGCCCATCACACAAACTAGAGCTGGTGAGTTGATTCCAGCCTGGACCTGCCAAATGACGACAACTACAACAAAAAAAAACAACTGGGCTTTGTGGTGGGCGCCTGTAGTCCTAGCTACTTGGGAGGCTGAGGCAAGAGAATCACTTAAGCCCAAGAGTTGGAGGTTGCTGTGAGCTGTGATGCCACAG